TCTTGGATTTTACTTGCACTTTGGTAGGTGATCTTGTTCTGAGCCAGGATTGTAAAAAAAGTGGGGTTTGTTTAGGAATGAGAGTTATTGACAGAATTGTGTTTATTGAAAGTTATTTTTTCGTGGAGATCTAGTTTAAATCATCAAGTGGATTAGTAATGTGGTTTTTTCGGGAATGTTCGAAATCAGTGTAACGGGGTATATTTATCCTGTTCTGGGGTATAGGCTCCGCTACTCGTAACTATATTTATCATATATAATTTATTTCGTAAACTTGAGAAAACAAAAAAAATAACTTTATGCAGGGATTCGCATTTAATGGCTTAGGATCCGTGTATTCCCTCCTCTTTGATAACATACATTTTGTTCGCTACATCCACTTTATTTACTGAAATATTAAAATTTCGCAGTGCAATAAAAAAAAAATCATCCAATTTTTTTCAAATGGCTGTATTATTGGTATTGGAGAATTGGCCAGAAGAAATAAATTACATAATTAGTAAGTATACTGCGCTAATGCAATGCAATGCAAGTTCCTTTCTATTCTCTGTCATAGACATTTTTGAGGGGAAAGTGAAAAGTCCACAATTGCAATATCATTTTACTTAGTGATATAACCCTTTAGGGCTATATCATTTTATTTATTGATATAACCATTTAACGTTGCTTACGATAAAAATAATTATGCGTTGTGACAATGGAATTGTTAAATTTGACGGAGTATTCATAATTTTTAAACCGTGAAAAATTTTATAAAATGTCAACTTTTATTTCTGTCAAAGTCCATCGAAAATCGATTAATTCACTATGGGTCAAGTCGCCAGAGTCGTAGGAATGCTCCTTGTTACCTTGCAATTAGTAGTGGTAGTTACTTTGCTACAAGTATACATAAATCTTCATGGCCAGAGCGCGGGCAAGAAAAGTCAAAATTTACCGGCTTACCAATATGGAGTAATGCTCCCTGTCTTCATAATCCGCCACCTGTAAGCAAAATGGCACCTGCGAGCAAAATGACTACGTTGACCTGTGTTTCAGCTTTTGTCACTGGTGTGGCATCCTTGGTATGTATCTACAAAACAATAAAACGAGATAAAAGAAAACAAGATGGACCCTCCCTGATACGAATTTATGGTAGTATTAATGAAGAAAGAGACGTCAACATTTGGACATTATTTCTTTTCGACAACATCATTACCGCTTACATCATCGCCACATTTATAGCCCTGATTGCAGGATTGGTCTTTGGTGGCGTAGGAAAACTGCGGGCAATCTTTGGAATATTTCATAATATTTTAGAAGTTTTCATCGTAGCTGCTTTATGCCATAGGACAAAAGCCCATTACGCTGCCGGCATCTTGGTCACATTGGTGTGTTCAGTGTTCGTCACAGGGACCATTAGTCAGTTGCCCTGGTATTGGGATTCGATGTTTTTCAAGTTCCAAGGCAAGTTCTTTTTTGTTATGCCTTTCAACCGCCCATGTCGCTAATCATCAATCGTTAATCTGAGTTACTGAATTATTATTCTTCTTATTATTATTACTCTTGTAACAGGTTTGACCCTGGATTTTATTCTACCGGTCCTCTTCATCTTGTGGATCATGAAAAAACGAATGAGAGATCCCTAAAGAACCTAAGATACTTGACCATTGCCTCTTTGGTTCATCTCATTGGGAATATATTTAATGTAGTTGGCAACGATTCCGGATCATCGTATGTATTTTTGTGAAAGTGCTTTATTTATTTCTTGCCTAAAATTTCCTACTTTTTGTAATACCCTTTTAGGACGAATATATTCCATTTGTCATACTTTATCAGCTTTCCGATATTCGCCATTTACGTGCATTACTCGGAGAAATCCAGCAGCAACTACCAAATTGCCAATATAACTGTTTTGGATTTATTTTCTTATTATTGTGGGGCGCTTCTGCAAGTGCAATTACCATCTTGATTGGAATAAACGAGCGTAGGTGTACATAAATAGTCTTTTAAACCTCAAATATTATAACTTAGTGTAGACCAATTTCAATAAAATATCAATTTTTCTTGGCAAAAGTGATCGCACAAATTGCAAGATTCTGCATTTCGTAACCATCGTCTCTAAACCCAAAAAAATGAATCATTTTTCTCTATAGAATATTAAAATCGCTACTACAAATTCGGATAATTATATACTCTCAAGATTTGATTTGACACTTTTCATATATTGTTCTGTTAAAACAGCCATTGCCTTTGATTTTCTGCTAATTGTGTTGAAAGTTCTTCGAAAAATACTTTTTCTGCATGTTCAAACTTCCCCGCATCAAAAAAGCTTGGGTCATGTGACTTATAAACGTCGCGTCACACCTTCATTTTTTACTATTTAATCTTGTGAAATCCTATTTGTCACTGATTATTCACAGACGTCATCACCTTGTAGCGTTTACTTGTTGTGTGGGATTAGGGTAAGTGTAAGTTAAGGTTGGTTTATTAAACTTAGCCACATACAGATCTTCAAATAAGGTATACTGTAAATACATATAATCCACAAGAGGAATCTTTGAAATTGAATCGGTTGGATTTTGAGAAAGAGGTAGACATGCGATCATTCAATCGAATCACGAAGGATTGAACAAGAAACGAACATGTGAAGGGTGCTTACGGAGTTGGTTTTCGGATGGTGATGATGATTCGATTTCATTTACAGATTCTAGAATTCTTTTCCGATAAACATTAGATTGGCTCGATTTTATTTATTTATGAGGTTTGATTTCTTAAGACCAGTTGATTAACCATTTTCGTCTGTTAAATGTTATCTTGAATGTTTTGTGTTAGCAAAGCTTTAATAAAACGAGACTCTTATGTGTTACATTGATATAAACTATTGATTATCTTCATGTAATGATGTTTTTATGATAATTATTATCGGAGTTTTTTGTAAAAAATTATCGTTTTCTGGTGTAAAGAAATGGTTATTAAATATTCGTATTTTTTTTTGACTATCTTTCAGTATACAATTTTCGCTCGAGGACAATGTTGTCCTAAAGCTGGTACTAATGGAATTTTTGAACTTGGACCTGTTGATTTTACAGCTACTGAGACTATTGAGTATCGTTCCCAACCATGTGCAAAGGCCATGACAACTGGTACTGATCCTCAAGGTAGTTATCATAACGACAACCTTAATTTCGTTACTGAAGGTCAATGTGTGATGAGCAATAATGGTCTTCAAACTTCCGTATGGCTTCCTTCTTTCCCAAGAGGGATTTTTTCTTCCGATAGGAATTATTTTTAATAATGGTAGTATTGAGGAGAGTGTTATTACGGTCATTTGAGGTAACTACCTAATATTATTGCTATTTAAAACATGTTTTTAATGATTTTTTTGACTATTTTTTTTTTTTTTTAATAAATTTAAGTTGTGAATACTAGAATAAGCTATTAGATAAATTAATAGTTTATAAATTTAAATGATTAATGCTTTTATTTGTTTATTTTATCATAAGTTATGAAAGTATAAATAAAGATATTTCAAAGTGTTAAACTATTTTAAGTTAACAAGTATCTTGAATCATGTTAACAGATTTTAAAAATTAGCATCTTCTTAACACATCGATTTACATCCTTCCAATTCTTTGATTATGTTCAGAATTGTAGAGATGGATTGACTAGGAATTATGTAATTCTGCCCACCTCTAGTGAAAATTAGATGTACAGTATACTGTATTTTTTTTTTTGGTGCTGCGACTTTGAAAGACGACCTTAACACTTAAGCCTAGCTTATACTGAAGTATTTACTAGACACCATTAATGGAGATGTGCTGGCCAATCAATCTCAGGTATTTCCCTATTTTTCAAATTATCTACCATGTCGAACGCATCCCCTTAATGTGCCTATCTAAATATGACATCCTAACCTGACAACTCGAACCACTTGTTATAATCCAGTATTAGGTACTTAACATCAAAGATACTGTCAAATTTGGATAGAGGGTTCATCTTAATCATAGTGAACATTATCACTATTCTTACCAACGATCTTTGTGAACTATAACCAAGGTCTAATTACTTGGTTTGGCTTTATTACAACTATACAAAGAGCTGCAGCGTTCATGGGATAATATCATAAAATTTGCCCAAACGGTAATCTCCAATCGCACATATAGATCACATCAACTAGGTGACTTTAATACCCATAATGTCAAACAACTCAGAAATCGAACCTGACCTTTAACTTTAGTGACAGCTCGATTAGGCAGTGCTGCGAGTATGCAATGCAGTTTATTATCATCACTGATCTAATCTACTAAGTTCTGGTCAATCACTTCCTTAATTTATATACAATCTTATGATCATATACGGAAATAAGAGCCCTTGCCTATAAGACATAAGACTGTATCCATTACAGACCAACCAGCGAAGGTCAAGTTTCTGTCAATCCCTGGCTTCATTTGCATCTACTTATTCTAATGCCGTGCAGTATTTAGGTATGATCAACATTGATCAATAAATCAATCAACTAGATTTGTACGCATATTGGTACATACACCTATCGTATTTAGTACATATGAAATTCTTATGAAAATCATCTAATTTTATGTATCGGCTGATACCTGAACTGATGGCCTATTGCTGTGTAATAAAACTTTAGCTTAATAGGAGACTCGCAGTTTAACCACTAAGCCAGGAATGCTGATCCCTCAGTATACTGTATTTTAAATAAATCAGTCAATAAACCATAATTTTTGTTATGATCTTATCTGTTGGCCAATCTGATATCCGTAATGTAATGTAATGTCCTTAAAATTGCTATTAATAATAACATTTTAAAATTTAAATATATTAATTAAAAAAAAAACTATTGTATATTTCTTAAAAAATTAAAACATGTTAACGATTAGCATAAAATTAAACCATGATTTTTGTTATGAGCTTATCTGTTGGCCAATCTGATATCTGTAATGTAATGTCCTTAAAATTACTATTAATGATAACATTTTAAAATATAAATGCATTAATTAAAAAAAAAACTATTGTATATTTCTTAAAAAATTAAAACATGTTAACGATCAGCATAAAATTATATATTCACTCTATGCATTTTTGCATAATTTAAACTTTTTGATTGCATTTTTTGTGGCTCAGCAAAAAAATCTTCTGTGATCATTAAGATAATTGCTGAAAAATTAATTCTCTGATCAGAAGTATGGAAGTACTAATACCATAAAATATCAGAAAAGGCACATTGTTATATAAGTAACTTTTTAATCATTTTCTGAATCAGTTTTAAGATTAGAAGAATCAGTCTCAGTGCTAGATGATTTTTTTTAGTATAATTTTTTAAAAGGTTTTTAAAATAATCTAATTTTAAAATTAAGTTTCAAATAATTTCTAATACTAATTTTTAACATGTCTTTAAAATTTTATATTTTTACATAATAATTGAATCACTTTATTATTAATTAAAAAGTAGGGCAAATATAACAAATTTCTGAATAATACACAAAAAGTCTCTAACTTTCCTGCAAATCAATTCTAGCTATATGAATCCACTATCGAATTTAAGCCTCCCATCCAATTTGACTCAAATTTAGCTAATCAATGATGTTGATATCAAACTTAATTAGGAATTAGCCTATCTGATACAAACTGTTTGATATAGCAATTCTAACCTAATTTTAATCCTAAATAATATATCAAAAAATTATAATATTCTGTTTGCCTTTAAAAGTAGGTGAAAATATTAAGAAACAAAATAACAAAATATTTAAATCTATAATTCTTGCAAACCTAAAATGTATAATAACTTTTATACTATACTGCTTACCTTTGGGAGTAGATAAGAATATTAAAAAATGAAATATTGAGTCTACAATTATTGCAAGTTTAAAATATATACCATATTTTATAATATCCTAGAATTGATTCTAAAGCTAATTCATATCTGATTATATAGGTTACCAAGTCTTATCTTTTGATACCTATATGCTAAGTCTAATCTCAAAGATGTTAGATTTAGCTATTATCTAGTTTATAAATTAAAAGTTTAATAATTAAGTTCTAGTATATCAATATTTTTTCGATAGAAACTCATTTCTTTCAAACTGTCCTTTCTGTATCAAATTAACTTATTTTTTACACAAATGAATCACTGAGTAACTCTGCTCTGATTCCTGTAAAATGAGCATTAGCTGGATCTGTATTGATATTAATTCTCAATACCACCAATTCAAAGCTGCGATAGAAAATTGGCCTTCCTTTACTCATGCTGAGTTATTCGTCTTTTTAACAGCCTTGCTAGTTTCAGCCAATTTGTCTGAAGTTCACATTTACACTGACAGCCAAGCATTGATACATGGATTTCATAACATCATCACCAATTGTGCACTCTCAAACTGCTCTCTTGAAAAAATTCCTAATTATACTATCTGGAATCTCATCCAATATATACGTGATACACTCAACTTGAAAATTATACTACATAGTAAAAGCCCATAATGGTAACACCTTTAATGAGATTGCTAACTCATTGGCAAAAAGTGATCATTCCTCAACTCCTATAGTTCCTGCTCTTATTGGAATCAAATCTCACAACCTCATAGCCCAATTTCACGATATTTTTATTGAATCATCTATTCAAAAATTCTTTAAGAATTTCTTTAATGCATGTCATTTTGGTGATTTTCTTTCTCTACATAGAAACAGGAATCTTAGGTTCCTTACCAACTCAAACAATATTAATTGATTCTTCATTTGGAACATCCTTACCTTAGACTCTTTATCTATGATCACCTTCTTTAAGGAAGCTTGTCTCAAATCCTTCATGATTAAAAATTTTGTGAATGAACTACTCGTACTCAATAGGATGGAGAAATTACATCCTAATCTGTATAGAAATTAGAACTTTATTAGTTACAATATAGTGTCTGAAACTTCTACACATCTCTAAACTTATCCTGCTTACTCTACTATCATGTCACCCATTCTCTCCTTTACCAAACATCACCTTGTTATCTTACTTAAAGATTATTCTGGATTCAATAATTCTGTTTTCCTTCTCGAACTCTTAAATCTATATGACAACATATTTACACTACCATTCTCAAGCAATGATGGTTACCTAAATATTATTAAACTTTGCATTCCTTCTTCATTAGTGAAGTTTGTTCACAAAATCACATGAAATAAGGTCAAATGTCTTTCAATCGTCATTCAAATCACCACATTTTTCTATAAAGAAATTTTTGATAAGATTTGGAAACACAAATGTCAGCTTATGATTAATAAAGAGAAAACTTTGGGTATCACAAAAAAAAAATTCAAAAAAGGCATTGTGAATACGATTGCTTATTTAACTGACAATCATGTATCTAGTACTTAGAAAGCATGGCTTCATTTCAAATAAATATGTCACTTATTTTTAGATTTTTAGATAGGTACTGACTCTTTTCTTTTTCTTTTTTTAGTGATAACAGTAGTCATTAGATATATATTTAGTGGGTCTGTTAGAGAAAAAAGATGATGATAGGTCAATTCAAATGGGTTTGAAATAAAATCATGAGGGATAGCTAGTACTTTTTCTTTTTTGTTTTTAAGTTGTACTTTTTGTATTTCTTTTTATAAATAATAAAGTTACTAGCAGTGCTACTTTGTTAAAAAAAAGGTTTTTTTATATATAATCTGACGATTGTAGTTTAGCTGCTTGCAACTAAGCCCTATCATAGGTTATACTATAATAGACCCTAGTTCAACCCCTAGCTAAGACAGATCGCAACAAATTAAGTTTGCAGGATTTACCAGTTTGATTCCAGAAATGAATTTCATAGGATGCGTACATACTATGTATATTAAAAATCATGAATTTGTAGAATATGATAATCCTGAGTTATCTATATAGTAGCTATCACCAATAAAGTGTAAGTTCGCTTTGTCTAGATCCATGCTATCCTGACAACAGGTAGTGATAATAGATATTCTCACCTATCATGAACCAATTGAGTTTGAAACTGGTAGTGAGGGCTGGTATATAATGGAGTGCTGAATCATCTGCAAAGGATGCCTATGAGTGTATTATCAATGGTAAGTACTGTATAACTTAGATTGAAAAATAGTTGCAGATTATAGGTAGTTGATATTTCAGTATTTTCAATCATCATGGTGCCTATATCACAATTAGGGTTTTAAGGCTAGAGTTCGATTCTCTGAGTAATTTTGACATATGAAGAGGCAATTATGGTGTAAGCTATCATCTTAGATTGTTCTTAACCCTAATTTCCAGTAATAGAAATGAATATA